ATCAGTTATCCTGTGTTCGTGCAGGAATTCTGCACACTTGTTCCAACTAATATGTTTTGTTGTATGAATAACCATTTAACCATATCCTGACCGTTAGTGACAATAAACAACTGTCCTCGACCGAACACCGCCTTGTGAAATTATAACAATAGTTCCATCATTCAATAGATTATTACAAACCCTAAGCAAATGTATCTTGTATTTCTTTCCGCGCATCAAACACACTCATTGTGATATTGAAACATCTTTTAAATGTATGAAATTAAATGTTTACGTCTCCGAACTGCGTTCTCAAAACTTTCCTTTGTATGCGATAGTAAAATTTGCCATCTCATCCGACCATTATCAATAGACCCACCGCTAGACACTAGTTTTCTCACGTTTACTCTCCAAGGGTTCCATCTCGGTCCAGTGTTCTTCAAAATGTATCGCCAAGGACAGTGGTGTTCGCTTTCTCATCACCCATCAATTTTTACCTTTTGACCGATTATGAAACACTACCGTCTGGTAATTTCAACCCTATACTATACTTGTCTCACCTACTCTATTTCCACATAAGGGATTCACCACTAGTTGATAGCGTGGATCCAAAAACTTACTTGAATACATTTGTGACACCTGCATCCCGTCCTCCCTGTGATTTCTAATCCGCGCTTTACGATCGTTCTTATACAGCCTTTTTCTGTCGCACTTTATCTGTAAGACATTGAAAATATGTCCAGGCGATCGTCAAATAAATTGATCTATATTGACTCAGCGTGAGTTGACATTATCTCTGTTCCTTGTGCACCTGCACTTCTTTCGGAAGCATATGCGTATCAAACTGGGGCATGCCAAACGTATCTCCACAGTGGATCCGTTAATCTCATCTCTTCGTCTAGTTCGGCACAACTCCCAAAGTGTATGAGATGCCTGACGATTTGTAAATTATCGTTGATGATTCTCAGTGTGAGCATAGGTTCTTGGCAATTTTATAAACGTGTTCACAGTGTACCATCCATCATTGTTGGAGTGCACAACTAAGCACAGCTAAAGCATAATCAATTTCATTGTTATATGTCTCGGATTCGATACTCAGCTGGATCGATGAACTCGCACTACTCCTGATGAGATCCAACCAGGTCGAAACAAGTGTCCAGTTGTTCCCAGCTCACGCCTCATTTGCACGATGAGTTCATCGTCTAAAAAAAAATTTGCATTCTATTTTTCTTCCTACTAGGTTTTAATAGCAGTACAAATAAGATAATCATTATGCATGTTCATTCGCGCCTGTAGCACAGCTAAGTGCTTTGACCGTTCATCCAGGTGTAACTTGACTGATTCGATGGTCGGAGCATGAACAACTCAGGGATGGAAGAGAGTACCAATGCGAACTCTAAAACCAACAGCTGTTTTGCTTTTAATGAAATTTACTTCGGCTACCGTTCCAAGTTTATTTGTTTACTGATTGACTGAACAATTTTATTCTCCATGAGACGGTAATATGTAATTTCATTTTTTTTTCTTTAAAAATTTCTGCTTGCTCCGAAAGTGCTCACCTGGCTTGGGGGTATCAATTCACGAATAGAAGTCAACATATTTTGTTAATAGAATCGCTTTCTGACATTGAAATGTGTTATGTATACGTTTTCTTCAACAAGATTCCTTTTTGGCAATTTATAATTATCAGTAGTATGCACCGCAACATTCTTTTCATCATCTTTTAGGAAACATAGTGATAAAGAAAGCCCTTTTTATCACGCGTCTATGTGTGTGTGATTTGTTCTCATCCTCGCAATTACGAATTGCACACAGTTTGACAAGTTATACATGCTTTCTGGTGATGGTTTTTCTGGCATCACTTTAATCTATCACATACTCCTCCCCACCCAAGCATCATCCGCGATGCCATCACACAAATCCGTACTTGAGAAGCCACAGGTTGCGTTTCGAAAATTGCAAAACTTGTCCGAATTCGTGTACTTGGAGCGTTTCATCAAATGCTTCAATTCTACCCTATCCGTCTGGAAAGTGTCTGCTTGCTGTGGCTAGTACAACGACATCTGGTTACTCATTTATTCTCGCAATCAGATTGTAAGAAATAGTTTTCATCACTGAAAAACGTAAAATTGTACTATACTCTTATGGGAATCCTGTTTGCAAAAAATGTATCAGACATGTACACCTGTTTGCTACCTCGCATACCATCTAGTGTGTATGTGTATCAATGGTTTTAAGGACGCGCGGTCTGAGAAATTCATGCACACACACACGCTCGCGCACCCGGTGATCGGTAATTCCAAGGTCTGAGTCTATGGTTATCAAGCATAAGCGATCCAAAAGTTACATACGGATACACCTTTCGGTTTATCGATCAACAGCCTCTGCGTTCTGTGTGATTCGTATCGAAACTGGAGACGAGAGAATGACTTGGGGCAGACAATCACTTTCAAAATTTACCTAATTCTATGACCTTTCACGTGAATCTCAACGGGGAATTTCAGCCGACTCAATTGATGCGCAGAGACGAGTGTCTCCGGTGTGTGCGTGTTGCACCTCTGCCCTGGGCACATGTATTCCATTCATTTCGACTCATTCTCCTGCACACGCAATCTGATTCCTGCGGTTACATGTCCTCAATCTGCCGTATACACATTTTGATTATATTTGCCATGACATACTTCTCTACTACTCCACGACACACACGTAGAAATTCTGCAATCTATCTATAGTTGTTCCGTCACCCCGGGGAGTTTTGTCTTGTATAGTTCTTTCAGTCAAACCGAGTTACAGTCAAGTAATCTCATGGTTGTTTTTTTACGATCCGAGATCCGAGATACATCAATTCGTGACTGTTCTCTGCTTTGTGCACAGTGTCTTGAATCATACACGTTCATCTCGCAACAGTGATTGCGAACAATCCTGCGAATGTTTTCCACTACTGCATTCAGGAATAACATTTGTTATCCTTTTCTGTTGTTGTGCAGGAAGCATGCTTATCTGTTAGGAAGAGGGAAGGCATGTCATTTCATTCAAATGGTTTTCAACCGCCTTGATTAGTTGACAATTTGTCCCAGAATTGAGCACGCCAACTTCCTTGAATAGGGGGTGCTTTAGGTTATCGTGATCAGCAAAACGCTGTAGCAATAATTTACGAATCTGTTTCCTCATGCTAGTTGTCTGTAGAATTTACATCTGGAATGAGAAATTCACAACCAGTGGCTTTCGAACTGCATCATGAAATTCGATCGATGACAAGAGCGAAAACCGGAAATGATCCAGTTGTGCATTGCTTCTTCGCTTTTCGGTTCTCGTTTTGTTCACTCTGTTTGCTATTGTGAATTTGCATATTCATTGACCGACGATGGGAAAGGAGTTGAAGCATAACACCCATACCTCGGCTGGTTGAACGCACTCCAACCTCGGTCGATTTCTATCACTCCTCTGCTCACCTCACCTTGTGTCCTTTGTTTCTTCTGATTTATTTGTTTTGTTTAACCCATTTCCAGTACCCGTTCCCATGCACACTCTACCCCTCGTTATCTTCATGAAACGTCCCTGTGCATTGCGAAAATGATCCCTCGGGCTGAATGACAAAAGTTGTTTGCCGTTAGTGAATGTATCCGAACACCCCAGAACGTAACGGTTGACATGAGATTGCAATGTGTCCTCGTAGGCCAAACATCCGATTTTCTCGCGCCGTATCTTCCTTAATTCTACCGTCGAAACTAATTTGGCAATCACTAATTACGCCATTCTCATTTTCTTGGGGCTGTGGATACAAAAAGGAGAGATATCCTAGTTTTCCCTGCATCACGAATTAGCTAGCATTGTCGCTAGGTAATTTCTACTTTTAATGGGCATTTATTTTGATTTAGGACAACTTTGAAGAAATTCTGAGTAATGCGTGTGATCTCGCACACGCAGAAACCCAACTAACATAAATGGTTTCGTGTTTTACGTAGGAAATCAGTTTTCTTTTTTCAAATATTGAAGCTATTACATTTATTTCCTTTTATACTTCTAATGTGCTAAATCATTCATCTAACCCACATGTTTGTATGTGGCATGCTTGTCCTCTGGTCCCCCAGCTGTCTTGTCACATCTCAGCTGGATTGTATTCTATATGACTCCAACTGATTCTGCTCATGTGGTTTATCAATAATCAAAAAACGGAAATCAACAATATGGAATTCCTTTTTTGCTTGACAAAGTTTTTCACGTCATATTCAATCTTCTGTGAAGTGATTAGGTTTCAATATTGCTAGTCACATGATCTCCCAAATTGACAACTTGTTTGTTTAGCTGTTTTGCATTCAGTAGTTTGTGTGATAAACTTGTTTAATTGGTATCTTCTGATGGATCCACTTACCTCCTTGATTCCTCTCTCTCTCTCTCTCACACACACCGTCTTGCTTGTCTTTCAGAGTGCATGCTGTCGTAACCGGACCGTGGATACCTTAACCCCATCAGAACCACCAATCACATTTTCCACACCAAATTTGTGCGCCAAATTGGGCAGTTTGGAACCGGTCGTGTGGATGATTGTGATCGGAGACGGAGTGCACAATTTCATGGACGGTCTTTCACTCGGTGCCGGGTTTCGTCAAAGCCTCAGTCTCGGATTGAGTTTAACGTTGACCGTCTGTTGTGAAGAATTGCCACATGAGTTGGGTAAGTGCTTCCCCGGCCACCCTCACCGACTTCCACGTTGTTCTATCCAGGTGAACTATCTCACTGAACTTTGTCCCACTTTCTCCATCGGGAATGAGCTCCAGCCAATCAGATGTGTGTTTTCCTCTTGCCTATTATCGGATTCCACCTGAGATATTATACTTTTTCCTCGATTTCGGAAATATTTCAAAAGACCCGGCAGTATATCTTTATTAAGATTGTCAAATGTATTTGAATGGTAACATGGTTGGTCGATCATTGAGCGTGCAAAACTGCCACTACTTTGTGCATCACGCAAACACAACACAGTGCAACGTACGAACCTGCGTCAACCCTGTTTGTTATAGTGCCCTTCTAAATAGACTTTGTGGCTAGCTTCGTTATTCAGTTTTCGGTTTCTTCAAACCCGCACAAGTCCATAATGCCAGTGTGGAAGCTGCGATGCAGTTATAGCTTTGGTGCCGGAACGTAGTGGTTGTATCAGGTACATGAAATACAGGCAGTGAAGTGACGAGTGAATCTATAATGATTGCCTTTGTTGCGGTCGTCAATAACCGAAACGACGCTGTTTCTTGCTTCCTTCACCGTGAACGCGAGACACGGGGTTGTCTCGTTTTATTACAGACTGGTCCGGACAGCTGTGTAACCAACCTATCGCGCGAGAATTTCTCGTCTCGTTTTGACAAAATTTTCGAAAAAAATGAAGATAATGAAAAACGAAATGGCCAATAAACTAGTCGAGTACAGAAGAATTGTATAGGTCACATTGAAAATGGGTTACGTACCGGACAACAAATCATGCGAGTGTGGTCTCGGTTCGTGATGAGTTTTCGGTGTTATTGCTATTTAATCAGGCTGGTGACGGATAACTACGTCAATTTGAAACATCTAACGAGTTGTTTTTCAGCACCCAACCAGTTAGGGGATTGTTCCATCGGATTGCAATCGCCTCCGTGATGGTTCGTAGACTACCTGATCACCCCAACCCGTCAGTGTTAGTGTAGATAAATCGAAGTGATGGTTGTGCAACCCCGAATTTGAGAGTAGAAGATACCCATCGACTAGAAGTTTTCGTTTATCGGTGCTTGTATAGTTTAACTCACGTGGAATGGAGCGAACGGGTAAGATTAGTATGCTTTCATAAATGGTTAGGAAGTGAAAACTGTATGCGAGTCGCAATTGAAATGCCTTCAGCAATGGAATTGTCTAATTTCACTNNNNTCACTCTATCCATTTGGATTTGAAATTTTCCGCATAATTTTCGTTTAAATATCGTGCTTTACTCTGAGCGAATAAATTGTTTTGCCAAAAATTCTGAAAGAAGTGGGAACAAATAATGTCAATGTTTTATCTCCTTAGACAACATCTGTCTCTCTGATATAACAATTGGCCGCATAAGCACGGCAATTGTGGTTGTCGCCCAGAGCAGCTTATTAAATTGAATTACGCCAGAGAGATACTAGTGATTGGAACAGCGTGATTGTGTTGCAACTCACGGATAACGGTAACATTCGAACGAACATACAATAGGATAGATCCGCAAGGGATATCACGGAACGACCCATTGACCGAACAAATATGAATATAT